TACAAGTCTGTGAATGCAGAGGGTGGTATTGGTGAGTTACAGGTGCAGATTGCCACATGGAAGTATAATTTTATGCCGGTAACAGAGGCCTGGTTCAAACAGGTGTAGGACTTAATGTTAAATATTCATGAAACAAGGTGTTCAGAAAGATACAAAAGGACGAAAAAGAAGAGTTGAATTATTGACTAAAGAGAACATTGCAATGCTCTAGGCCAAAACTGAGGGTGGGGTTAAAGTGTTGAGGACAAAATCGAATTAGCAGGAGGTGAGGGACACAAAAGGTGCAATTATATTGCTCAGCATTGTCTATAAGCAACTAACAACTGGAAAGGGTGAGGACGGGATAATTCATCAGGAAATTACAGAGCAGTGCAAATATTATAATGTAGTTATAACAAGATATTTTAATTATCAGAATATAGACAGGGATAATAACAGTGAAAAGGACAGAGAAGTGTAAGTTTTCCCAGAATGTGTTCAGGAAAGGATTTGACAGCAGTATGTATCCAATCGAATGAAAAAGGAGGTACTGCTGCACCTGATATTTGAGAATAAAGTGCGCCAAATAGATCAAGTGCCAATGGTGGAACATTTAGGGAACAGTGATCATTTTTATCACAATTTTTAGGGTAACTATGAAAAAGGATAAAGAACAATCCAGAATTCCATGAATGACAAAACTGATGGAAAGTAAGATAAAGAAGAAAAATTTTTCTTAAGAACAATTGGAAGCTAAGAGCCAGAGAATGATCCACAGAGCAGGAAATCTTGCTCTTTTTCTGGTTAACAAGATACCATTGACACATTTAAAGTTACTTGAGTTCCCAAACATTTTGAGATCACTGACCTTTTTAGCACTGCTGTTTCTAAAGTTAGTCTGAGATGCTTCAGGTAAGAGAAAGAATTATTAAGCAATGATACACTTTTGTATGTGCCAGTTTTGTACATTTCAGTCTTAACAAGTGTTTAGAAAGAAAACAGATAGTCGTTCAGATAAGAGGTTAAAATCCTTGGGCGTTCCAAACCTATCTATATTAAAACCGAACGATAAGGAGATTGCTGCTGATATAGCTCACTGGGTATTAAATGGAAGATTAAGTGGATCACGCACATCAGACTCAGTCAAAATTATGGGATCAGTTCAAATCTAATAAATGATGAACACTCTAAATCATTGTTGAAATTATGCGTTGTTGATCTTTTCAACTCAACAGACTAGATAAGGAAGAATTACTAACTTGCATATGTATATATACATATATATATGTATATATATGTATGTATACATACACACATATAAATTAAGAAAACACATTACATCAAGTCCCAAATTGCTTTATTGGGAACAAAGGACTTAATGAAGTGTAGTAACAGCAGCAATTTGCTTTCAAAAACAACAATTCAATTGTAAGCAGATTATTTTTTTAATTTGGTGCTGTTATTTAAAAGGATAAATATTGGCCATGCCCTCACAACTCTTCTGTATCATTTGATCTGTTATATTGAGCGAAGAGAAAAAAGTGAGGGTCAAGGCACCACAGTCCCACTATATCAATAGAGAGAAATGACTGCTGGTGGTTTAAGCTGACGGTTACCATACCTCAGATGAGGGGATAGGTTAAGAAGGTGGGCCTCAGCTGGTGCAGGAATTGAACCCATGCTGTTGGCATCATTCTGCATTGCAAGTCAGCCATCCAGCCATCCTCCAAGAGATCCAACATGAATCATGGCAATTCTGACAGTGAAGCACTCCCTTAACTTAATAGCGGTGTACAAAATGATCAGAGGTATAGATAGACTGGACAGCCAGAGACTTTTTCCTAGGGTGGAGATAGCTATTACGAGGGGGCATAGTTTTAAAGTGAGTGGAGGTAGATATAGGGGAGACGTCAGAGGTAGGTCCTTTACACAGGGAGTGGTAGGGGTGTGGAATGCATTGCCGGAGAGGGTAGTAGAGTCAGCCTCATGAGGGGCATTTAAGTGGCTATTAGACAGGCATATAGATGATAGTATAAGGTAGGGGTGGAGGTTAGATAGACCTTAGGTTTAGGGTAAAAGTACGGCACAACATCGATTACAATGTATGTCTCTAGAGTGAATCCTACATTTTAACCCCAAGACGGAGTGCTAACAAATGAATCATATTTTCATTAATCCTAATATTAAACAATGAAATGGAACCTTCAGCTATTTCCCATGCTAGATGTTCATTTCAAAGTGGGATCCTCCATTAACAGGAGACATCTGGCATACTTTTCCTGACAACATGTGATCTTATTGAAACATTTGATCTAGTTTTGAAGGAGCTAGATGTTGGTTCATTTTTTGATTGCTGATTCAGAAGCTCTACACCCAATCCAACCATTTGTGCTGAAACATTGCATTGGATATAATGCAAGAAATTCACATTTCCACAGAACATGGCTAGCCTCTGAGAACCTTGTCCAGAAGGTCCATTGATAAGACAATTTTAAAGTCCAAGGACAGAATTATCACAAATTATTGGCCTGGTGATCATTTATATTGCTTGTATTTGTTTTTGAGTTGTAATGAAAGTTGTTCATACGTAATAATATTACTTTTAGAGTTTAGATTTTAAAGTCATGACATATCAGCAGCAGTTACTTTGAATAATTTTTTAAAAAATAATTGTGATAAGCCGTCTTTCCAAGACAATGATCTAATCAAGCAGCATAACTTGTTCTTATGCACCTACCACTCTTCTAACAACAGAAAAGACAAAAGTAGATGGTGAGTTTTAGAAGATATTCGGAAGGAAAATCAAATGTTTGGCTAAAGAGATTAACTTTCAAGAATATCTTAGTGGAGGAGAAGGGTTAATGTTGAATATGCTTCAAGAGAGCATTGCTGGGCATAGGACTGTTGGTCTGAACCACCAACAATGTGGAGAAGAGGAGAGAACAGAGACAGAGGAATGTGGAATTTCCAGGAAGTTTTTAGACTACATGAGGTTACAAGAGGACATTGGCAGGTTTATTATGCCATTCTTGATTTGGATTGAAGCCAGGTTTGCAATTGTGCCTCTTATCTGTGATTGACCAGGAGCCAGATCCTGTCCTGCCACAACAAGAAAGGTTATGAAATAATTTTATGCCAAGTTGTTACAAAATGGCAGTAAATGATTCAGAGTAAAACTGAAACAAAAAAAGTGACAATGACACTAAATCTGATGATGTTTAAAATGTTTCTTGTGTACCAATTACAATCAAGTTGGAACAGCTTAAAACAAAGTTAAAGTTGGATTTTCCCCAATCTCATGGAAATGGAGTTGGAGACAGGGCTTGGCAGGAACTAGATAAATAAGAGGAACCTCATCAAGACCATTCCCCATTGCATTCTTCCCTCTTGGCTCTTTTTAAGGGACATGCTGTGATATATATCGGAAAGTGTTAGAAAAACTCAGCAATTCTGGCAGCATCTGTGGACAGAGAAAAACAAAGTTGTAGTGATTGTAAAGAGGTCAGCCAGGTGGCCCTCATAGTATATGTATTCCCTGATTGGGGCTGTTAATCTGGTCCAATTAGGGAGCCCTGGCTGATAATATCAACAGGAGTGTCAGAGATTATGTTTACTCTGAGAGCTGGCTCAGAGGGAACTGGATCACTGTCAAGACCCTCCACGTGTAAATAAAGGGTGACTTGGTGACAGTATACTGGCCTCTGTGGAGTTATTTCAAGAGTGACTCTTCCAAACGCAATGATTTGTTTAGAACTGAGAACTGGTTCAGCAGCCTGATCTGCAAAGATGGCTAGGAAATAGTACAACTAAGTTCCAGCCAAGGGTCATTTTAGCCAGCATGGTATTTTACTGATGATGGATATTGTGCAGAGACACAGGCTGAATCAAGCTGGCCTCCCTGTTTTAACAAAAACTCCAGCAGTATGTGGCGATGCTGAGGGAGGGCACTAAGTAAGGACACTAAGTAGTTCATCATGGTGTAATCAGCATATGACAATGGTGAGAAAAGGTAGATGGAGCCACTGAATGCTCTCTCGCTGGGGGAAAGACAACGTGTCTCTGGAGGACAGAGGGTAGATGGGAAGGGATAGCAGTCAGTCGAAGGAAATGCTTAGCCAATGTAACCTGTATGGTTGCTCCATCTACATCTTGGAAATAGTTTATCCTTAATTTCCCTCCCTATTTGAAGTGGCCTATAGAAGGCAGAATCCCTGCTTCCTGATCTTTGAGTTGTCAAGTGTGTTCAAATCTCGTTACATTTCTGGCACAATCAACAAGGTTCCACAGCACAGGCATGGAGTCAGGGCCAAAGAGGCCAAGATGGAAGGAGTTGAAACTGGTAATGTCTGTAAGGGAGGCTGAAGCTGCTCTGGGATCACTGTAGACTCTGGTGCTGGCAGAGAGAGACTCTGACCTTCAGACCAAACCTGGCAGACACTCCCCATGTGCTTTCCTTCGATCCTGTGGAGGTGGGATATTCTATTTGCTGCTGCATGGGAAGCTGAATAGACTCGATGGAAGAGCAGAAACACCCAA